AAAAAAAAAAAAGAAACTACATTTTTAGCAAGTATGACAAGTAATTTTGGTATCATAAGAAGAGGTGGCTTACTTAGCAAATTAAAATATAAATTACTTGAAAAGGTGATTTTTCTCATTCACTTTCACTCAAGGAAAAAGAATGAAGAACATACTTTGTTTCACTGTCCTCACTGGCCCTGGCAATTTCTCTGGGCTGAGAAGTAGTCCCATAACAGAATGGTCTCCTCTTTAAGCCCATCTCAGTGAAGCGAGAAACTATTTCCCATAGAGGAAGCAAATGCAAACTCTGTGCACCTTATTCCAAACACAATTACTTTTAGCTGTGGAAAAATGTTGACTCTGCTTTTTAGTTCAAAAAAGCCAGTTAAGATTTTTTTAAGTGTTGGGTTAATTGTAGTTTATTTGAATTCATTTGTTGAAGAATTTAATCCAAAGAATCAATCTGCGTTTCACATTCTTCTAGAGGTAATAATCAGGACAGTCCCTTAATTTAAAATCTTTTTTCTCTCTGGTATTCAATAGTGTATTTACATAAAGAGTAAAGAAGAGACTTTCCACTGGACACTTACTGTAAATATGGAAGCAGTATAAAACAGGAGCGGAAAAGTGGTCTCCTTTTTATTTCTCTCCTGAAGAATGAATTGTGGAGGATGTAGTGGTTATTCCACATCATAAATCGAACCTCTTTCAGACCCCGAGAGTTGGCTTCTTCAATCAACCGAATGACAGACTATAGAGCAGAAAACAGAAAAATAGCAAGTTTTTAAAAAAGCAAGTTAATAATCACTAGGAAATATGAAAATGTGAAGTAAAAAATAATCTCACAGTTAACATCAAAGGAATTTCAATAAAGTATAGTGAGTCAAATTAATTTCTTTTATGTTTAATTTTTTTCTCCTTCTAAAGATGCTGAAGTGGGAAGATGCTGCCTGTTGAGAAGAACACAGATTTCTATCTTATGAAACATGGGAGGCCCAGGGAATTACTCTATTCTATTTTGAGCCTTAATGTTGTCCTAGAGATTTTTTTTTTTTTTTTTTGGTTTGTATTTCTTAAGGGAATTTTCAGAAGAGGAATTAAAAAGGGTGGTATATAAAGTTCAAATAAACCAATTAAGTTCCAAAACCAAGAAACCTCTCAGAGGAGAAACAGAGAACAGTCTAAGTATCCTGAGAATATGTTTTAAACAGCCTCTTATTTTCCTTGGAAGGTAGATACTAGTGATTACTTAAAAGAGAGCAAGAAATTTTAATTTAACATTGTTTTACAGAAATTCATATACTAAGTTGTTTCTTCTTTTGCTACTATCCTTAATTGAAATAAGGAAGGTAAGTTAGTTCTCCCCTTTTTGTAATGTTAGAAATGAATTTAATCAAATTAAAGAAGTCAGACTTCTGGAATGTGAAATTAATTTCTAAAGTCCCTCATTTCTGAGTGTTTAAACTTGACTCAGGATTGTCATTCAGAGACAAAGTTAAGCCATCATCATTTTTAAAACCTTGCTTTTTTTACTATCTCAGATTAAGGACACAAGTGCACACAAGAAAAAATTTTAAATAACTGATTCACCTGATAACAGCTCAGTAAACATTCTCAGGTACTCCTTTTGGGGGACCTGACAGTGATTGTTTTTATTAAGCTTCTGAAATGCTAAGAGTAAGTCCAAGAGCCAGATAAAACCAAAAGTTATACCAGTTCTCATCTCATTAAAATTATTCCAAAGGTAGCAACATTTCAATAAGATTCTGGGGAAAGCATTTTATTTCTCTGAAGATTGTTTTATGGGGCGGCGCTTGTGGCTCAAAGGAGTAGGGCGCCGGTCCCATGTGCTGGAGGTGGTGGGTTCAAACCCAGCTCAGCCAAAAAAAAAGAAGATTGTTTTATAACAACTTGGAAAAACATGGTTTGGGCTTAATATAAAAACTGAATATAAAAACAGTATCTTCACCTCACCTGGTATTCTATTTACGGATTTCAAATCAATGAAAAGAAATAAATTTTTAGAAAAAGAAAGAGAATATTTTACTTATATCAACAAAACTCAATTTTAGACTCATAAGCTCTTTGATAATATTAGTATCTTTGCCTAGTCACTATTGGAAAGGTGAAATGAAAGAACAGAGAAAAAAACTTCAAATGTACTTTTTCAAAAAAGAAAAAGTATATTTGAAAAGCAAATTTGCTGAAAGAAAAAAAAAAGCCTGTAAATACCTCAGGATACTCTCTCCATCCAAAGTGGTCTCTACAGAAGAATTTCCAGACCGTGTGGTATACAGAGTTGACATTGCTAGAAGGTGGTGTAGACAGCCTTCGTAATTGGTCAAATTCCGTTGTTTCATACACATTCATGGCATTCAAATCTGCCCCAAATTCTTGTCCTCTAGAAAGACCCCCCCCCCCAAAAAAAAACCTGTTAGTATATTTGCAAAGTAAAATATCCAAACATCTTATTGGACATTAAAAATAGGTAGTATAGACTACTGTAGAACAGGCATCCTCAAACTATGGCCTGCAGGCCACATGCAGCCCACCGAGGACATTTATCCAGTCCACGGGGTGTTTTTGCCGCTGCTGTCTTTCCTGTTTAGCAGCCGACTTGTCCTGGGGCCCGGAGTCCAGCCCTCCAACGGTCTGAGGGACAGTGAACTGGACCCTGTTTAAAAAGTTTGAGGACCCCTGTTGTAGAATTTTCAAAATTTGCTTTACTTAAAAGAATATTACTGGTTGTTTCCATAGCATCCATCCCCTATGTGCCCTTTTTTACCAAGAACAAAACTTCTGGGCAGAGGAGTTATAGGATTGATTTAACCCCATAGTACCAATGGCCTAATAAACCCAGTCAATATAATCCCAAACTCTGGTCTTAGCCAATCATGGAGTTAAGTTTTAAAATGAAGCTAGAAACCAGACAGAGAAACAAAAGAAAAAGTTCCTCTTGAAGCTTAACCCTTTTTCAGAAGCAATAGTTTACCTCAGCCAACACAGGAATATACATTACCTGATGAAAGACAAAAAAAAAAGAAAAAGAAAATGACCTCAAACAATCCCAGTACTAATCCACCCCAAATCAATATTGTCTTGTATCTGTGGGTGAAAAAATGAAGAGAAAACATGAAGAGAAAAATAGTTTGAATTATTTTGAGGTTTACCTATGAGAATATTATTGTCATTTTGTTATGTGGTCTACTGGTGCTGAATCAGCACCTACAAACATCTCCATACCATTGGGACTCCAAATCAAATTCATCTGTGGTCCAATTGAAACACTTAATGTTTCCTTTTTAATGGAATATCATCTACTGTATATGTTCACTATATTCTCTCTTTTCTGTGGATGTATAGGAAATTAAATATATCATAAAATAACATCACATATATTGCAGAATAACTAAGTTTCTGAATACATTCCTCAGTATTTCCCACCTTTTCTACCACAATTTATTTGTAATTTGAAAGACTGGTACATGCGAAATCCAGATACTGGGACAGATTTTCCCAATAACTGACTTCCTTCCTTTTTGTAAATTAGGATTCTGAAAGGGTTTTGATGGTTAGTGCAACACTTTCCAAATTCTGTTCTTGGAACACTTGTTTTAAGAACTGTTAATAAGTACTCTGTGGACAAAAGATTCTGCAGTCAAATGTTTGAAAAATTGGGTCATACAGAGTTATATAATTTACTTACTGCAGCCTCTCCCCAGTCTCTTTAATATGCTAAGGTAGATACCAACTACCCTGATGAGGGCTTTAAACTAAACCTAAACAACCTACTAAACCTAAAACAACTGCTCTCCAAAGCTTTCCCCCAGGAATACCAACTTATATTTCTCTCTCAATACACAACTCTGGCAAATGTCAGGGAAAGAAAAATCTACTTCCCATCCTCCATCCTGATGTTTGCAATTTGTGAATCAGGTTCTATTCTTCAAAAAAAAAACTAAAGTCACATACCCAATTACTGGTGCCAAGAAAGTATACAGCTTGTAAAAAGCAGTATATTCTTTTAAAATTCTCAATAGATCTTCCCCTCAAATCCAAATGTCTTGCTAGTAGTGGGATGTGGTCTTAAAATAACATAATTTTAATTAGCCATTACATGGGAATAAGATAGTAAGATATAGTTTAAAATCATATTTGGTTACTCTTTTGTTTAAAATGATTTATGCTAAATAGACATATTTAATTCAAAAGAAAAAAAATGTTTCTGAGAATTCCCTGAAAAAACCCTGAAAAATTGGAACTTTTATGCCTAAATTAAACTTCTTATCAAGTTCTGTTAGAGAATTTTCACTTAACTTTAGAAGAATCTGATGTTATGACTGAGAAGAGAGACACAAACATTTCTCTCCCTTTAAGCTTATTTCTCAGGAACTGTTACAAATGATGAGTTAACAAATCCTCAGTATTTTTTTAAGGAGTTCTTAGAACAGCAGTCATTATGTTAACATGCATTATAGCATAAACAGTTAATGCTTTTTCCTGTTTAAATGCCACATTTTATTTTGGACAGCACTCTAGCAATTTCTGTTTAAGCCTGTATAACTGAGACTTTATAATGATTTGCATGAGAAAGAGGGCTACAACTGCAGCTCAGCTTTTGCTACAATCTCTGTACATTTCAGTTCTTGGAGCATTATGAAATTTCTATGACAAATTCTAATTTACTACAATCAACTATTCTTTGAACTGATCTATCAAAGTACTGTTTTAGGTCTATTTGATTTTCAATATGCTTTTCTAGACTTGACAGAGACAAAATAATGAATTTGAAAAACATTAAATTATTTTTTTATAAAATTAATTTTACCACCTGCTCTCCCTTAAACAGAGAATACTTTAAAAATCCAAAGCCAAGAGTTTTTTTTCCTCCACAATCTGCATCAGTATGAATGTGTGCAATATGGATGCCAAATGTTCAATATCCACTGCTCTTCTTTATCAAACTATTATTTCCCATTATCAGAAAGCAGTTATGAGTCATCTGTGTGTGGTAATGGTGATAGTGGGCTGTATGAAGCAATACACAAAGAATTAAACAGATGTAGCAGTCCCTATCTTCCAGGGGCTTCAAGAGAGGAATAAATAACAAAACATAGAACCAAAGAAGCAAGACATCTGTCTATCTAAATTCATCAGTGGCAAGCATATTTAGGAAATAAGACAAATAATAGACATGCAGCATTATGGAAGAGGAGGTGGTTATTGGTATTCAACAATAGATGAAGGTCAGGAAGAAACAGGCTTTCCTCTATCAATCCTAGATAGCTTTCTGTAAGAGAAAGCATGTAATGAATAGTTTAAATATTGTAATAGGAAATATCACTGCTAAGTATAAAGAATCGTATGTAAGAACAAGGAAAAAGAGGCCTTTAGTGCTTTGCTTCTTGGAAGAAGGGTAGAGCAGAATCGTAGAAGTAGTCAGAAAAGGAGACCTTCAAAACAGAGGCACAGACAGATGAGAAAACATGGACCAGGAGCAACAGGCAATGTGAGAGCTGTCAGGCCATGAGCTAATGATGTTAAGTCCAGGATCTCAGAGCCTTAAGTTAATACTAGATGTGTAAAAACTGAGAAAGAGAGACAGCGCTTGAGACTTAAGACTTGGGGAGTGTCTTTGTGAATGCAGAGTACAATAATCCTTGTGGATGAGAACCCTATCTGGATTAAGGGTATCCCTACTGAGGGATGGCCAGAAAAGAGTATGAGAGCTAGTCACTGTTTCAGGATTTATATTTTGCTAAATATATCAAATGGTAGATCCATCAATATTGTCTTATCTAAGATAGAACTCTACCATAAGCCCAAAAAATTAAAAACCTGTGAACAGGTTGCAGATTTTTGCTATAAAAGGATCAACTTGAACTGCTGAAATAGTAACAATTGTATTTCATGTGTTTCAGCAACAAACATACTACCATACATACCTGTATAAGAATATAGACAGAAAATGAATTTAAAATTCTGAAAAGAATACCCATTCTCATAATTTAGATGCTTTATAACAATGGTTCTCTTCTTAACAAATATCTATACATACCAATTAAGCCAACATTTTCTGACATGTTATTAGCAAGCACCAACACCCACACTAAGTCAGAAAATATGCCCAACACATTATTTCCTCTGTATTATAAACTTACTAATATCGTAGTATATTTCAGGTACTAAAAAGAAGGTGAAAAAGACCTATGACATGAGCAATAAATAATCAGAGCTGGAATGAAAACTAAAACTAACATAGAAACAGATGCTAAAATGAAATAGAAATTAGTGACATGATTTATTTCTAGGGAAATAGCTCTTCAGTTTATGTATCTGAGAGTAAATACATGAAAGACAGTAACCATTCTAGGTTAATTTCTCTATTTACACATTTCTAGGAAGGAAATGTGACCAAACAAAGAAAACAAGGCTCAGCACCTGTAGCTCAAGCGGCTAGGACGCCATCCACATACACCAGAGCTGCTGGGTTCAAATCCAGCCCAGGCCTGCCAAACAATGACAAATACAAACCCAAAACAGCTGGGCATTGTGGGGAGCACCTGTAGTTCCAGCTACTTGGGAGGCTAAAGCAAGAGAATTGCTTAAGCCCAAGAGTTTGAGGTTGCTGTGAGCTGTGATGCCATAGCACTCTACCCAGGGTGACAGCTTGAGACTCTGTCTCAAAAAAAATAAAGAAAACAATTAAGTAATATTAAGTAGGCATATGAATTATGTACTGGGCTCTGCTTTGGGGATAAGAAGATGAAAAAGGCTAAATGCCACAGAGAACCAATCAAGTGGGGAAAGACGACCTTGTGGCACAGTGTGAAATGTGGCACAAAGGTGATCTGAGAACAACTCAGAAGCAGATGGCCTACCTCTGCTGGGAAAGGTGTCAGGAAAAGTGGTCAAGGGAAGTGTCCCAGGGTGGATGAAATGCAAGGCAAGTCCAGTCAGCCACCAGGCAGGATACCACGTGCAGAGTGACTGCATGCGTAGAAGCTAAACTAGCAAGACATGAGGAGAGTATGGAAGAAGCACATGCAGTTCATGTGGGAGGCCAGGGTGTATGTGTCTCTGAGAGATGACAAGGACTAAGACTGGACTGGAAAGGCTGGCTGGGGCCAGATAATGAAGTGCTTTGTATGCCAGGTTAAGAGGTGAAGATTTGACTCTGCAAGAAGGCAATAGGACTCATCAGTGGATTTTCAACAAGGTTCAGACCTGCCTCTACAAAGGCCACTCAATAGTACCAGTTTAGAGGAGTAATTTACTTATTTATTTTGGGCAGAGGAGGCCAGGGAAAGGTCGGGGAGGAGTGGAAACAAGGATTCATTTGCTAAATATTTAGTAGCATACTTATCAATATTTATTAGTCTATTTGTAACTGTCAATAGC